TACTTAGCTGTGTTATTTAAAAGAACAGAATTTGGTAAAATAAGGACCGGACCAAGTAACCCAAGATATGACCACCCATAGCGTGAAAGAAAAACTTACCCCATCCTTAAAGGACTGATTCTCATTTACATTTCATTGTGGTGGATTGGTAGGAAGTGAATGGCAGTGATTCCTCCCCTCATCTTCTCTCAGCAACTTTTACTTCTGAAACCTCCAACACTCACCCAAACTATATACTCCACTAAAGAAATTCAGTTGACCGTTGACCCCGCCACTGAGTGTTTATTTCTTAGTAGGAAAATGAGAAATTTTGGAGAGCGAGGGGCTGAGCAGGGGAGTTTTGAAATAGGCAAGGAATATGTAAAAGGGAATTGTTAAATCACACCAAAGGAGAACAAAATTTTGTGTCTGCATGGATCATTGAAGGGGTTTTACTGACTATTAACATTTGCCCACTCCTGTTTGTGAGGCCAGGTATCACCTTCTCAGGTAAGGCTGGTTATACATCATCATGAGACTACCATTTGAAACAGGAGCCTTTAGTTCTTTCTAATCCAGTTTTTTTCCAAGTTAAAAAGAAAAATCAAGCTGGGCGCCAGTGGCTCACACCTGTAATCCTAGCTTCTTAGGAGTTTGAGATCTGAGGATCGAGGTTCAAAGCCAGCCCAGGCAGGAAAGTCTGTGAGATTCTTATCTCCAAATAACCACTAGAAAGCCGAAGTGGCGCTGTGGCTCAAGTGGTAGAGCACTAGCCTTGAGCTGAAGAGCTGAGGGACAGCGCATAGGCCCAGAGTTCAAACCCCATGACGACAACAACAACAAAAAAAAATCAAATTTAAGCCAGATGCTGGTGGCTCACTCCTGTAATCCTAGCTACTTAGGAGGCTGAGATGTGAGGATCCTGCCTGGGTAGGAAAGTCCATGAGTCTCTTATCTTCAATTAATCACAGAAAAGGCCAAAAGTTGTGTGTGACTGAAGTGATAGAATGCTAGTCTTGAGCAAAAAGAGCTAGCTTAGGAACAGTGCCCAGGCCCACCCAGAGTTCAAGTCCCAGGACCAGCAAAAACACAAGCAAAAAACAAAAAACAAAAGAACACTCAAAATTGACATAGAGGGCTGGGAAGGTGGCTCAGTGGTAGAGCGCTTGCCTTGCATGCATGAGGCCCTGGGTTCGATTCCTCAGCTCCACATAAGCAAAAAGAAAAAAGCCGGAAGTGACGCTGTGGCTCAAGTGGTAGAGCGCTGGCCTTGAGCTGAAGAGCTGAGGACAGTGCCCAGGCCCAGAGTTCAGACCCCACGACCAGACCTCACCCCCCCAAAAAAAAATTGACACAGAAAAGGGCCTTCTCGTAGTTAGAACCACTCATCTGGAGGTAAAATGAGGACTCTTAACCTATGGTTTTATCAATGACAGTTTCCTTGAAGATTCAACTCTTTTTCTTTCTCTTCTTTGGTGGGTTGTGGGCCTGGGCTCTGTCCCTAAGCTCTTCAGCTCAAGGCTAGTTCTCAATCACTTTGAGCCACAGTGCCATTTCAAAGACTCAACTCTTTGAAGCTAATCCCCTACCTGATCTCCCTATCTTTGGACTGGATTACCCCTCTCTTAGCTCTACTGGTCCAACCAGTGTCTTTTCAGTATTTTCACCACTGTGTGCCTTTATTTCTCCTGCTGAACTTTCTGCCTCCAGTCAACCTCTTCCTCCCACATCTCCCTATAATTTTCCTGCTCCATCCTTTGAGCAACTGGGTCTGTGTCCTCAGGGTTTATCACAGGCAAGGCTCAGCACATAGTTAATGAATGGTTATGATACTCTTCTTTGGCTAATAGGAAGTGGGATGCTGGCCCAAAATCTTCAAAGACTAAATGTAGAAAACAATTTACTGCTATCATTTATCTATTAAACCATAGGCATGATGGGTATAATCCCTTATATATTCTTTAATTACGAATACCCTGTACTTTTGTGGTGAGTTTTGCCTCTTCAAAGCATTTTTCATCCTTTGTTCTATTGGACTTGAGCTTCACACATCTATGAAGAAAGCAAAGGAGAACATGTTACCTCATCTTACAGTTGAGCCAACTAGGCAGCGATAAAGTGACTTTCTTTACCTCTGGTCATGACAGTGCTATTTTTAGAATGCTTACGGTAGTAGTTCTGTGGAGTGCAGTATAAATACCCATTTTTGAATTTTATCTCTACATCTCTCCATATGTATGCGTATGTGTGTGTTGTATATATGTGTATATACACATATGTACACTATACTACACTATTTATATTATATATAAATATTTATATTATATATAAATAGTTTATAAAATGCATTCATGGGGAGGAAGGGTAGACTGACAGTCATGTGCCTATTATTCTGATGTGAAGGCTTTGATTGTAAAGGCTATTTGCTAATGAGAGAAATGTTTCTTATATGTAATTTGCCTTGGGAGATGCTTTGCATGGGGATCAGTTGAACTTGGCGTTATGTTATACATCTCAGGTAGTGGAGAATATGATGATGAAAAGATACAATTAATTCTACAACCAACCTTACGATTGAGATTCTCATGCTTGCTGTCCCAGCACAGGGAATTAATTCAGGCCTGAAGCAATGGTGGCTTCCTGCTCCCAACTGCCATGACTTTTGGCTCTAGTGGAGGTCTGGGTCTTCTGTTCAGCAGACTAAAGCATTTCTGCTACTTTGGGTAGGAATCATCATGCAGCCAATTTGCTTCTTTTCTTTGGAGGAAAGAGAAGTAGAGGGGCCAAGTGGAACACCCATTTAGAACAGTAGTTAAGGTAATGATTCATCCAGCAGAATCATCCCACAATCCTTTGTTCCCAAAGAGAACTTATTGAGGAATAAGACTCAAAAGCTCATTGCCATCGCCACACAAGCTAATATGGTCTCAGGCCTCTGGGCTTACCACAGCTTATGTAAAAATATATGAGGAACACAGAGACTAATACAAAAACAGATACTTATTCTATTTAGCTCTCCAAGTCAGCGTCAGCCATAGGCCAAAGTGTTTGCTAATGCTTGCTTCCAATAGCTTCCAATGTCTTGTAATAGTCTCCTCAGTTTCCCACTTTCCCAGCCTCTCAAGCTCCTTAATTGCTCAGAGCTCCTGGCTGCTTTGGCAGTATGCAGTGCTCTGAACCACACAACTGCTCACAGTCAGCAAAACCTCCTCTGATTTAGGCTGGCAGCTTGAAATACGACCTCAGAGTATTTGATACTCAGATCTACTAAGGAACTAAGAGCTGAAGGGGGCTGAAAACCCTTCCTCCTGAAAACTTTCCCTCCCTCCCCCTTCCCTCCCTCCCTCCCTCCCTCCTCTCTTTCTTTTCCTTCCTTCCTTCCTTCCTTCCTTCCTTCCTTCCTTCCTTCCTTCCTTCCCTCCTTCCCTCCATCCATTCTCCCCACCCCTTGGCTTCCTGTCTCTCTCCTCTACTCTCTCCCTGATTCTCTACCTCCTTTTCGCCTTTCCTACCCCCCTCTTTCATTCCCCCCTCCCTCACTCCTCCCCTCCTTTTCTCACATTCCTAACTCCCTCCCCTGCTCTGTCCCCCTTCTTTCTTTTCTCTCTCCTCCTTTCTCTCTTCTATGTTTTGATAGATTGCAAATATTAGAATGCAAAGCAAATAGTATGTGTTGATGGCAAATGAGTCAGAATTATTTACCTTATACATCAATAATACCAACCAACAAATGTCAGTGGCTTGGGCTAATTCTCTGATCCCTGTGTCACTTGAGGACCCAGGCTGGTTAGCAACCCCATTTCCAGCATTGCCTGTGGCTGTGTTGCTTGTCCAAGAAGAGGATTCACATGGGAAATAAATGCTTTCAGCTGAATGAAACACATCTTGAGTGACCCTGGAAGAATGTTCTCAGATTTACTTTTTTCCCTACTAACTAATGCAGTATTTTTTTTAAAAAATGACAGAAAATGTTTATTAAATTGAGAGGATTTCCAAAAAACTTAAGTCTTTGGGGTTTGCTTTTGGCAGCTTTGTACTGAAAGAAATAACAGAACCCATGAAATAAAGCATAGAAGCATCCAGATTTGGTTTAGTGTCCCTACAATTCCAAGATGGATCACCATAGTCCAGTAAATTTCGTGGGTATCATACCTTCGATGATTCAATAAATAGATCCCATACAGTAATCCTTTTCTGTTGCCTAGCACATGGTATCATGTAATGAATACTTATTGGATAACTGAGGAGTGGGCAACTCATAACTTGAAATCAATTATTATAATCTATAGATATCATAGAGTCCGAGGCAATAGAGTTATTAACAAAACGGTTTTTTCTGTGGTGGTAGAGTGGCATTTTATTAGACTTGCATTTTAGACACGCTCTAGAGAGAGAGAGCAGGAGAGAGAGAGAGGGAGGGAGAGAGAGAGAGGAGAAAAGGGGGAAAAACAGTAGTGAGGCATTCAGTCCAGGCAGTTCTCTACCCAAGGAGTTTATTTTGCCTCTAGGAAAATGTGAGCTGAAAATCTCAGCCTCAGGCATCTCAACTGAATGTGGCTGTCAGTGAGAGCAACTCACCTCATTACACATACTTCTGACATTTGAATAGAAGGCAAACTTTTTTTTGTCTCATACAGCTTAGCCACTGGATCATTTACAGTTGCCCTTAAAACCACTGACCGGTCCAATGCTGGAGAAGGATGGACTGTGTCCCTGCACACTGGCAGGTGGCAGGCAGGTCCTGTCCAACACAGTATCGTTCTGATCATGCATATATTTGCAAAAGCCAGCCTTAGAACCTAATGTCCCATGTGGAATAAGATGCCACCGCATTCTTGTTCTTTAGAAGATGAGACTTTGTGCAGGGAAGTGTGCCCTACTTTCTATCAGCTTTATATGTTATTTTGTTCCAGACCCTTCACGCTGCTGCTGCTGTGTGTGCGTGGAGTGACGTGGAAGTCTATGCAAGTATTTTGTGTCCCGACCAGAGGTTAACATTGCCTCTCTATCCTTTTCTCCAGAGTGCCTACCGCATGTTTACAAACAACACATGTTTGAAGCACATGATCACCAAAGTCCGGCGGGATACCCACCACTTTGAACGCTACCAGCATAACCGAGACCTCGTAGGATTCCTCAACATGTTTGCAAACAAACAGCTGGAGCTGCCTCGGGGTTGGGAGATGAAACATGATCATCAGGGCAAGGTAACAGGAAGAAGCTGCTGAAAGACTGTGGTTGCTTGGCTCTGTTTTTCTAGTGAGGGCCAGGAGCCTTTGTGAAGGCAAACATTCCATCTCCTTGTTCAACTGTATCTGCACAGACAGGTCGTTTGCCACTAAAAACCCTGTGGCATTATTCTGAAGTAGCATGTGACATGGAGAGATGAGATTTGGTGTAACATATTTCCCTGGATATTCTTCTACCTGTCATCTCCTACCATTTCCCACAGATGAGAAGTTTCCTCTCCCAAGTGCCACAGTTTGGGTTGTGGATATTTGATTAAAGGCTGTGGTTTTGTTTAGAGAGTGTGCTTCGGGTGCTTAGAGATTGTTTAGAGAGTCGCTGAGCAAGCCATTTCATAAGACACCATCCGGGTTTGAGCCTCAGTCTTGTTGGCTCAGAACCCTGGTTTTGTTTGCACCTTAAACAACTCTAATTAATTAATTTATAAAGAGAAATATGTAAGTATTTCTGGCCCAGGTCAGAGAAATGACATCTGTACTTCCTTTGTAGGCAGGTAAACCAGAAAGCTGAGTTATAACCAGGAAGCGGTTATACTTAACTAGGATTTTATTTTTCTCTAATATTGTGTGGCACTGACTCCAAGCTATGAACTAGTTGAGTTATTTTTAAGAGAAGTTCCTCAGCACAACTTGATAATGCAGTACTGGTTGTCTTCCATCTTGGAAAGTATGAACCCAAGGGCCCAGAAGGGCTTAGTGACTTTTTCAACATCACTGAAGCAGACACTGAGTCTTTCTCTGACCCAGGCCATCTCTTAATTCTGACATCATGCGTTCCGAGTATTATATTACTAACCTCACTTTCTCTACCTATAAAAAGTCTGGAAAGTGTAACTTACAAGGAAGGGACAGTTCAAATGACATGATATTTAAAATATCTAACAATCCTGGGGTCATTTGTTCAACAAATCTTCATTGAATATCTATACAAAGCAGCTAAGACAAATACTTCATCAACTATCATACTCTGGAAAGAGATAAAAGTAAATAAATACATAATATGATCAATGCTATGATAAAAAGTAAAGCATGGGCCGAGTGCCGGTGGCTCACGCCTGTAATCCTAGCTACTCAGGAGGCTGAGATCTGAGGATCGTGGTTCAAATCCAGCCTGGACAGGAAAGTCTGTGAGACTCTTCAATAAACCACTAGAAAATTGGAAGTGGTGCTGTGGCTCAAGTGGTAGAGCGCTCGCCTTGAGCTGAAGAGCTGAGGGACAGTGCCCAGGCCCAGAGTTCAAGACTGACGACCAATAACAGAAGAAAAAAAAAAAAGAAAGTAAAGCATGGGCAAGGTCTACAGAGAGATGAGACTGAAGAATGTTATCTTATATGGGATGGTTGGGGAAGGCTTCACAGATGAGCCTCTAGGTAAGCAGAAGAGTAAAGTCAAGGGAGAGTACTCCAGGCAAATGGGACATTTAAAGTAATAAATGCTACTTTCCCCCGAGATACACTTTACAAAATCCAGCTTCGCACAGAGGGCCTATTCACAATCCAAATGGTGGTTACAGAGTACATGGATTTTAGTGCATGGGAGGAGCCCACAAACTCTCTTTATAACAACTGACTTCATTTCTGTAGATCTTTTAAAATACATGTCTAGTTCTCAGATGTGAGGTCCCAAGTGATGAGCATGAAGTTTAGAACTGATAAAAGAGAATGGACCTGTGGCTGGGTCACACTGGTAGAATGGTGCTAAATCAGAGTTGAGGGAATGACAGAGAGGACAGGACGAGGAAGATAGAAGCAGAGACACCAGGGGAGAATGTGGCGCTGTGGATACTGAGTTCACTTCAGCATTTGGAAGAATGCTGAAATGGGTTGATCGAGCCCCCACTGAGGAAGTGATAAACTGGATTTGAACCCAGCAGTCCAGCTCCAGAGAATCTATGTTCTCACCCTGCAGCTCAGCAGGGTAAGTGAGTGTGTTCTAGAAATTATGGTGCACACGTAATGCGTGTTTGGCAGGGTGCTGTGAGAGTCTGTTGAAGAGATCCCTGCCACACTTGAGGATGTTAGCAGTGACTTTCAGACATACTGTCTGAGGGCAGCCTGGTAAATGAGTTGCTCTCTGCTCTCCGGACCTTTTTCTTGAATTCCCGCATAATTTTGTTTCTGCTGTAACCATAGCAGCCATTCTCACCTGTCTCAAGATACTAGTTCCTATTCACTACCCTAGTAGATATCTCTCTTTCATTTTCTCTCTCTTTTTTTAAAATTGTCTATTCTACCCTAGCACTTTCACATTGATTGTTCTCAAAACAGACTAATGAATGAAACTTGCCACCTGTGGTTTCTTGGTTATTCAGAAATTTTCACTTTGGACAAAGCAAACAGCTTCCAGACTCTCTCCCCAGTCCCTTTCTTTCTCCTCCTGTGTTCTTACTACAAGTAGATCCATATTTGACCTCTCAATGCAAATGTTGCCCTGGACTTTTGCTTTCTGTGTTTGGAGAGGAACTGGTTGTTTGTACTGCATTCAGGTGTCTTTAATTTGGAGGAAGATTTTTTTTTCCTTTTCTTAAATAATGGCTTGAGGCCAAAAACGTTAAATTAGATGAGACTTTACAAGATTATAGAACCCGTATGCTCGGGGAGTTGTAGGTACAGATGTGTTTGAGTAACTTAACAGAAAGATGGGAGGGGGGAAATCCCATAAAATTAGCCATTAATAGTTGGTTACTAGTGGCTCACGCTTTAAATCATAGCTGTTCAGGAGGCTGAGATCTGAGGATGGTTGTTCAAAGCCAGTTCAGGCAGGAAATTCTGTGCGACTCTCTTCTCCAATTAACCACCGGAAAGCCAGAAACGAAGTTGTGGAACCAAGTGGTAGAATGCTAACCCTGAGCTCAAAAACATAGGGACAGCACTCAGACCCTAAGTTCAAGCCCCAGGATGGGTACGCACACACACACACACACACACACACACACACACACACACACAATTGGTTATTAATTAAAGATTGAAGACAGAACATCAAGTTACCAGAAAAGCTGATGATGATGGTGATGCTAGGCACTGTGGTAGGTACTTTCCCAGTGATAATTTTATTTATTTGTCATGGTAATTTATGAGGCAGACATCAAAATCTATGTTTTCCTGAAAGTTAGTGGTGTGAAGTAATGTATATATTAACTAGCAAGTGATGGACTCAAGATTCAAACTCTCCAGAAGTGTGACTTCTAATCCTTGTACTCCACTGGAAGAAATTGCTTTTGCAAATGAGCGACACTTGAACATTTCAAAAGAGAGTCACTTGCTAGGAATACTTGTGTTCTTCAAAGCTCAGTAACACATAGAGGTCTTCTTATCGCAAATTTTTCTAACAGAAGATATGTGGTCAGCAACACACAGATGACTTGGTTCCCTAGTGTCATCGAAGCCTTATGCTAAGGCCTATGATATTACCATAAACAATAAAGTTCACTTTAGAGAAACCTCTATACTGCTTTCTACCAGCATCTGTTATTGTTAGTTTTCTTGACAATGGCCCTTCTAACTGGAGTCAGGTGGAATTTCTATGTTGATATGATTTGCATTTCTTTTATGACCAAAGATGTTGAATGTGTCTTTGACCATTCCTTTAAGGTTAACTGATATATTATAAACTGGATTTGATACCAGTTATACAGTCCTTTGGTTCTGTTTGGGACATTATACCAAAATTTACACAATGAGACTTTTGAACAACAGAAATTTATTTCTCACCATTCTGGAGGTTGAGAAGTTCAAGATGAAGGTACCAGAAGATCTGCTGTATACTGATGGCCCTATTCCTCCCAGACAGCTCATAAAGGGTGGAGGGAAGATAGCTCTCCAGAACCTCTTTACTGGACAACTGAGAATGCTCTTGACGGTTCCTCCCTTACCTAATTCCCTCCCAAATCCCCACTTCCTAAAACCCTCCCCTGGGGTGGGCCCATGCACCAATAGCCTGTAGTATAAGGCTTTCTTTCTGCTTTCAGTTACTATGGAGAGTGTCTCGTGCACAATTCTGTTGTAGTATTCCTCTTAGTAGTATTTTGTTCCATTACTTTAGTTCTTTTTTTTTTTTTGCCAGTCCTGAACTTGGCTTGAACTTGGGGCCTGAGTGTTTCCCTGAGCTCCTTTTGCTCAAGGTTAGTATTCTACCACTTGAGCCACAGCACCCCTTCTGGCTTTTTCTATTTATGTGGTACAGAGGAATCGAACCCAGGCTTCATTCATGCTAGGCAAGCACTCTACCACTAAGCCTCATTCCCAGCTTCTTACCTTAGTTTTAATCATTTTGCTTTTGTGATGTTGAGACTGGCAAGTCAACCACTTTAAATATAGAATGTAGAATTTCCCTTTTGAGAATGTGTGATCACCATGTGTATCTGTGGCATATAATTACAGGACACACATTTTTGACTTGCCTCATTGTAAAATTAAGTACACAAAAAGGCAGAATATTTTTTATTATTGAAACAGTTCATAAACTTTTTCATACTTTCTGAAAATTGACAGCAATTTAGGATCTGAATAACAGTATTGACATAGGCATTTTACTATTGATGCAAGAAATATGCTTCAGCAGTGACTTATTTGTTAAAATGTGACTTATTTAAAATGCCTGTGGTTCTTGGCTGAGTTTAATCATTACTGAATACTCATGGAGATAACGTATCTAGAGAGAGGGGGGAGAAAGTACTTTAGTACAAAAAGGCAAATGTAATTTGGCCTTAGAATGATGCTCTGTGTGTATATTTGTATGCATACATGCATGTTATACACATGTGTGTGTTTCATTTTAGTTTTGCCATTGTTGCCTGACAGATTTTAGAAAGTTATTGCTATGAATTCCAGGAACCTTAGCTTCTTTAGTGTGAAAGTTTGTAGCTGTCCTATACCATTCCTAGAGCTGTCATTATTATTAAATTATATCACAGTAGGATTACAAATGAAAGAATAATAATAACTAAGATGATAATCACA